GTATTGTATTGTATTGTATTGTATTGTATTGTATTATTATATTATTATATTATATATTATATTATATTATATTATATTATTATTACTACTACTATTATTATTATTATTATTATTATTATTATGTTATATTATTATTATTATTATTATTCAGATGGTAATGTAAGGGATGTGTACCATTATCTACTTTGGAGATGGAATAGACTGATTCCAGTGACTTGGCATTCAGAATGTATTATTGATATGGATAAAAATGGAGATCAGGGCAGAAGCCCACCAGTCAACATTTTTAATATAGGGTAGTGTTTGGTCACTGCTAGGGACTTTCACATACTTCAGTTGGTTTAGTAATTTCAAGATCTCTTACTGAGAGATGGGGCCATGGAGGGTTGCTATACCTAGTCTCATTCAAGAGGCTGGGAGAAAAGGAAACAAGCTATAAAATGTGCTACAAATTCCTATTTGGTAGCTGGAATCTAGCCTCCATTTGTTTGTTCCCCTTCATGATGAATAGACAATTAGCTCCCAGGAATGTGGGGTGTTCTTGTTCCTTTCAGCTTGGAAAAGTTGCCCCAATTTGCCCGGGCAAAGGCCTGTTTTTTTTCATTTAAATTAACCTTTTATAATGCTTTTCTGGTCAATCAACTGGATTTTGATTGAGAAAAGTTGCTTAATGTATTAGCCTTAAGGGCTATTTTTGTAATTCTCCCCCGACAGAAATGCATTCTTGGTCATAGCATCAAGGAATATCAGTGGATCTTCTCCTAGCTCAAGGGGGAGATTTTAGGAATGATTGATCTTGATTTACAACTAGAGCCTCTATTGGCCCTGTAGTTGATAGCAGATGCTGCCAGAATTTGGAGAATTCATAGGGGTCCATTTAATCCTGTAGCTGATTTGAACACCGTGGATACCCTCTTGGCTCCCAATATTAGCTGATTGTGATAGTTACGGTCCAGGTGGAGCAATAAATGAAGGTGTTCAGTCTGGCTTAAGGCCAGATTTTAATGTAAGTATCTTGTTAAGTAAATATTGTGATGTCAACATAGAGTTGATGATGCATAAACACCGGGTATCCCAATATGTGAATTTTCCCTCTGTAGCATCATTCATGACACCATTTAATATGCAGAGCTGAAGACCCCTAAGTGCCAGCCTACTATATTGGTTTCCAAGTCCCTGGAAACTCTTATTATTATGGCTTGCTATTACCCATATATTCCTCAGAGAATAAGAATAACAGAACAATGGGATAATAGAGTTGGAAGACAATGGAGGTCTTCTAGTCCAACTCTATACTATTTCAGATGAATCTCTTCCTAAAAACTTCCAGTGATGGAGCACCCATAACTTCTGAAGGCAAGCCGTTACACTGATTAAGTGTTCTAACTGTCAGGAAATTTTCCTTATTTCTAGGCTGGGTCTTTCCTTGATTAGCTTTCATCCATTGCTTCTTGTTCTGCCTTCAGATGCTTTGGAGAATATGTTGATTCCCTCTTCTGTGGGTAAGCCCCTTAGATATTGGAACACTGCTATCATGTCACCCCTCGTCCTTCTTTTCATTAAACTGGACATACCCAATTCCTGCAGCCGTTCGTTAAATGTTTTAGCTTCCAGTTCTCTAATCATCTTTGTTGCTGTTTTATATTGTGGTGACTAAAATTGGATGCAATATTCCAAGTGTGGTCTTACTAAGATACTATAAAGTGGTACTACCATAAGAAATCCTGACCAAAGTGGGAGAAGATTGCCATATCACTAAAGTCACCTGCCACTATTAGGGCTAAATTTGAGTGTTCCCAATAGATTTAGAGCTGTAGTTTTCCAGGTTATCCTAGAGACATTGGTTAAGCAGAGTCAGGAGGGAGTTAAACATTAACAATGCTCATGAAACAGAGACTTTCTGGATAGGTAAATTATCTAAAGTATCAATTTGAACAAGAGAGTTGACTAAAATTTATGCAGCTGTAGCATTTTAAAATGATAAATGAATTTTTGAGAATTATACTGATGTGGCCAAAAGTATTGGGACTCTGAATTATTCCCAGAGAATCCCAATTTGCTCTGAAATAATACAGGTAAATATCATCCACCATTCTTTGTTCCATAGTCCATAGAGCAGAGACTTTGCTTTTCCTTCCTGAACATAGCTCCAAGAGAAAAATCGACCCCAGATTGAATAGAAGAATAGTTTGAATGGTCGAGCAAGAAAAAAAGATAAAAAAAAAACCTGACTAATTTCCAAGATCAAGATACAACAATATAAAGTTACACTATACATTGCCATCTGGCTTAAAGTGCCTTCCATGGTGGAAGACACCACTTTTGATAGACACAAAAGAGCCACATTGGATATTCCTAAAAGGCATGTTGACAAGCCACAGTCCTTCTGGGAGATTGATTTTTGGACAGACGAAATAAAATTAAAACTTTTTAGTAAGTCACAGCGGTTATGTTCAAAGAAGAAAAAAACAATGCTTTTAAAGAAAAGAATGCCATCCTTAATGTGAAACATATAAAAGTTCCATAATGTTATGGGGTTGCTTTGTTGCCTCTGGCACTTGAATCTGTGCTAGACACAATGAAATCAGAAGATTATCAAAGCATTCTGGAGCGAAATATACTGCCTAGTGCAGTGATGGCGAACCTTTTAGAGACTGAGTGCCCAAACTGCAACCGAAAACCCACTTATACATCGTCGAGTGCCAGTTGGGTGTGGCCTATTGGCTGGGTGTGGCCAATTGGGTGGGCTTGGCCAATTGGGTTGGGGTGGCTGCCGTGGTAACGGTAGACTGGATGGGACTAAAAAGTTCAATCAATCAATTCCAACTTTGCAAGATCTTTTTTTTTCCCGTGAGAAGTTGAAATTGACTGATTGAACCTTTTCTCTTTTTTTGCACACAGCGGCGGAGGCCTAAAGTGAAAAGGTTTTATAAAACCCAGCTGAAAGCCTAGGACTGGGGCGACGGCGCGTGTGCCCACAGAGAGGGCTCTGAGTGCTGCCTCTGGCACCCGTGCCATAGGTTCGCCACCACTGGCCTAGTGTTAGAAAGCTCTGTCTCAGTTTCAGATCGTGGGCATTCTAGCAAGATAATGACTCCAAACATACATCTAAAAGAAGCAAAAAAATGGTTGAAAACCAAACATTGGATTGTTGTAATGTGGCCTGTTATGAATTCTGATCTGGATACAATTGCCCAACTATGAAAAGAGCTGAAACTCACTGTTGGAAGAAGGAATGCACTGAATCTAAGTAAACAGGAATAATTTGCTCAAGAATGGGTCAAATTGCCAGTTGAGAAGTGAAGTCTCCTTCAGAGCTGCAAAAAGCATTTGATTGTAGTTATTGCCTCAAAAGGATGTGCTACATAATATTAGGCTATGAACATTATATCCATTCTTTTCATTTGTTTTTTATTTATAAGAAAGTTATATCCCACCTTTTTACCTAGCAGGTGTTCAGTAATAATATTTTTCCATAATACAGGAACTGTATAGTAATGACATAGGAAGATATTTGTTTATGCATATTACATCTTTTAGCCCATTTATATGATGCTATCTTCAATGTGCAGTTGAGATAATTAGAACTTATGCAATTTAATTTATCTTTTTCTCAAAGATAAAGAAGCCAGTTCTTCTCATCTCTATTTCTAAATTCCAATTTCATTTTGGATTTGAGGAGACCTTACCTGGCTTTCAGAATTGAAAACAATGATTGGAAATTACTTTGTTGTCATTTTTCCTCCAAGCTATGCTTTCTAATTCTGTGATACAGAAAAAAACTACTTTGATTTTGTTCCAAACAAGAAAATAGAATATTTACGACATGGAGGCAATATAAAATGAGAGAGTGTATTCAGAATTGCCAAATCATGGTTTAATTATTACGAACTTCGGTATGTATATGTGTGCCTTTGAATCAGTTTTTGCCTCCTAGTGACCACCTGAAGAAGTCTTTGCACTTTCCTTAGCAAGATGTTATGGAACTGGTTTTTGATTGCCTCCTTCCTATGGTGGAGAGAGAGTGACTGGCCCAAGATCATTCAGGTGGCTTCATGCCTAAAGTTGGACTAGAACTCACAATCTCCCAGTTTCTAGCCTGATGCCTTGACCACTACACCAAATTGAATCTCATTATGAACATATTATATTTGCTTTATTCAAATCTCACTTGGTCTTTGTTTGCAGTCCCAGTCCAAAGTACGTATTAAACAGCAATGGTCATCATGGACAAAAACCCTGGTGCCTGATGGACTGCATATTCTATATTTTCATATTCATATCCTAAGATTATATTTAGAGTCATGGTTTTACTACTGTTTTGTGCTTAGGTACAAAAAATTACTACCCAGATGCAGGCCTTATGGTTAACCACCCTGAGTTGCTGGTTCAATATAGGTGACTGTATAAATTAAATAAATAAATTACAAAATTAATATCTCTCTGGAGTATGCAAAGAAATATATCCAAAATCAATCAATTTGAAAACAAGAATCATTAGTTAATATAATAATGTACTAATTTTTAAATAGATAGAAACATTACAAATATTCTAGCCGATGCTTTTATTGATCTTATTATATATAATGATCTTATTATATATAATGTATTTTATTATTCATTTTAATAAATCTTAATTTTAATTTTTATATTTTTAGTGTTTGTGTGGTGTAAGCTGCCATGAGTCTATCTAGATTAGAAGAGCAGTATCAATAATTTAAAAATAAATGTACAATTGAGCTATTCGCTCTTCTGATATTTGTGGTTTGTTTACTTTTAACATGTGTACACAAATGGTTTGTTCAACAAATCATGGTTATTAAAATCCCAGATTAGCATTAACTCTTAAATGCAGCCAATTAGACAATGTGAAAATGTATGCTTTACGTCAGTTGTTCTCAACCTGTAGTTCGCAGAGATAAGTCTTGGTGGTCCATGGCCACAAAGAGTATTGAAGAAAAGGTTGAGAATCACTGCTCTACGTACTTTTTCCTAAATTAATATATAATATTGTAAACAGTGCTTTTTGTACATTGCAGTGATATAAGTTCTAGTCCAGATGGAATCCAGCATACTGATGTTTTAAAAGCAGCTGACATAACGAGGGGAAAGGAAATAGTTGTCACATTAAAAGCTCATCAATAAATAACATATTTGGTTACATTGATGCAATATTGTCCCCATCCTCATATCAATGGGTAACAGATTTAGGATAAACCATATGTACACTTGCATTCAAATACTGCATCACCTTGCTAATGGAGGAATAACATACTAAACCTCACAGAACAGTTTACAAGAAGAAGAAGAAAGAATACTAAGGAATATGCTTTTTTCTTAGGATTTGCTGTAATTGCTTTTTTCAATTTTAGCGACTAGTCAGGTATTTTCCAACTCTATTCATATTTTGCAAAAGCCAGAATTAGGGCTGTTGGTGTTTGCTGCCCACCCCTTGGGTTGGGGCCCAGGTTAGTCATACAGAGATCTGGTCCTAAAATATAGATGACTTGATCCCCCAGTATACCAATACAATCTAGCTAAAAGTCTCTGAACTGGAAAATAATTAGTCTTTCAAAAGCATCAATACTGCAGGCCACCCAGACTGACAACAGTCTTAAATATGTTAATCTACCTAAGTTTGTTTAGATTGTTACTTTTTGGAGCTATGATTCTAATCAGAAAGTGCAGAAAATTGATAAGGTTTATGGTAAAGAATGGCATTAATGCCTTCTGGCTCTACAATCAAAACTACTTCATTTCATTGATAGTTGAGTGTTCAAAACCACTGTCTCCAATTTTCTTTTACAATATCCATGATAGAAGTTCATCATCTATCTGGACTGTGATTTTTTTTTTTCAAGTAAACATCAATTTGTGGGGAAAGAGAATTTTCCCAAATATTAGGGAACCAGTTTGGTGTAGCAATTAAGGTGCTAGCCTAGAAACGAGATTGTGAGTTCTAGTCCCGTTTTAGCTATGCTAACGCCTGGGTGACTTTTTGCCAGTCACTCTCATGTGGTTGTTGTTGGGGGAAAAATAGGAGGAAGGGGTATCGATATATTTGCCACTTTGAGTTGTATATTTTTTTAAAAAGACAAGATAAAAATCTAAAAAACAATAGCTATTTTTAATATTTTAATATTTTTTATAAATATTAAATTGCCTTGGTATCTTCTAAACATTAGCAATGAAGTGCATCAGAATTTTCCCTGAAATTTATGTCAAAGAATGAGATCTGCTTTCCTTTATGAGCAGGAAGAAATATTCTCATTGTTCTCAGAAATGTGAAAAATATATTATTTTAAAATTATACTTTTTTTATCATCCTCTGCAGAGTATTGGGAAGGGGTCTTTGTGGTGTATAGACCCAGAATATAGACAAAATCTTATCCAGGCTTTGAAAAAGACACCCTATCACCCGTATTCCCATGTGTTCAGCACACCTCCAGCATCTCCTCAGGCATATCAAAGGTAAGAAAACTTGAATATACTTTTATATGAACATGGCAAAGTCTGTAAATTAGCTATGTACTGACTTCAGATTTGCAAGTGAATTTACTGTTCAAATATGTTAAATCTAGAAGGAATGTACGCATGCATGTTTTAAATAAGTAAAATATAACTAATATATGATAAGTGGCCTAAGTACGGCATGTAATGATCAGACTGATAATTTATTTCCTTCTTTAGTGTCTACTAAATCAACAACCAAATCCATTTTTTTTACATTTAAGGATTGCCTTACAATATAAGCCTTAGAATGTATTTAAAAGAATAAAATAGCTATTGGTCCCACAATTCTGAGATGCCTACATACAAAAAGTAGGGGGAAAAACTAGGAAAGTACTGCCCTGCTTGTTCCAAAGGTGCTTTTTCAAAAGACAACTGGACTTTGTTTTTCCTTGAAGACTTTTAGACAAGTGAAACGTCAGCAAGGAAAAACAAAGTCCATGTACCTTTTGAAAAAAGCACTTTTGAGACAACCATGACCTGGATGACTGAGAATCTCCATAGATATACTGCCCTGCTTATGACGACCTCCGAGACACAAATTTTAAAAAAATGTTGGGGTCACAGTCTTACCAAGGTTGTTCACACCAATTGCTGTTCAGAATAAGGCTTACTCAACATTTTTCTTTGAGTGTATCCAACTACCTGATTACATCGAGTGGTCCTCTCAAAACTATGTGATAATCAACAAAAAACTAGAGCTTGCCAATCCCAGTCATGAATGGTTACATTAATTATAAAAAAGGTAGGTCCCCACCTGTTGCCAGACCATAGGCATTCTTACAGCCCTAATTTGAACTATAGAATTTCTTACCAGTTTTGATGAAAGTTACATGTCCGCTTCAATTAATTACTCTACGTTGCACTGCTTCTGTAATTATTACCAAAAATCTTTGTCCTCTATACTTTGGTTAGAAGCTGTGAAGTATAAGAAAAGATTCCAGCTTTTCATGTTATGCTTTCATGAGTGGATAGATTGCTGCCGAATCTTTTTCTCTAACGCTATGTTTGGAAGATTGCCTCATATAAACTTTGGCTTCCAGGTGATGAAAGTATGTGTTTTGTTTTTTTAAACTGCTGCTGTTGTGGTTACCTGCTCTCAAAGTAAGTGTGAGCAATTATGCTAGTTGCCATAGTGCTTTTCTGTTTGGCAAAAGGGTCAGTCAGGTCTGGTAACTTTAAAACGGCAGGGAAAAAAACTCTTAATGGATGAGTTTGTCTTTTTGTCCTACTGCAGTGGGAAAAAAGGTATGGCAGATGTAAAACCTGCCACATTTCAAGTCTGCTTGAAAATATATGATTTGTTACAGGAAGTTTGAAATCCATAATTGCTGCAGCACTTAGCATGATGTTAGATAGCTATAAATAATAAATGTTTTGTAACATCTGTATAAAATAGAGCCATGCCTTCATTTTCCCTAAGTACAGACATTGGTTACACAAACGATTGTCTGATAGCATTTTTTAAAATGCCTATTAATATTGAGATTTGGAAGTGCAGTTGCACCCTTCAGTTATAATACTCCTTTAAGAAGTGGCAACTTGCAATGTAATTTCATTCTGGTAACTCTAATAAAGTGCCTGAGCATCTCTGCTGAGCCCTGCGTTCCATCACATGGCCCAAACAATCAATCTTCAGGCAGAGATTGGGAAGAACAGCTGGGCTTTTGCAGGGAACGGCTGTATGTCTGCCCTTGCTAGGCGATTAGCGTGATGGTAACCATAGTAACTAGAAGGCCTCCATAGCAACGCATAGCTGAGACAGGTGCAGTTACATCACAAGGCTGTTTGTTGCCTGGCAAAAGGACAGGCCATTAGTACTAAGACATGCACTGTTGCCTTGGTAACAGATAACCTTACATAGAAACTACAATGGGTTTGAACATTTTATCATCCTGATTAAAAAGAAAAGGGAGGGGGAGGGATTTCATCTTCTTTTCCTTATTTTTAATTTAATTATTAAGAACTCTTTTATACATGGTCATTTGAAGTTACAAAATGTTTTGTTGTAACAAAAATGAAAAGAGAATAAAGAACAGCAATTGAAAGTTTTCAGTAGCTGTAGTAGCTTAAGAATTGATAATAACCTAAACATTAAAAATTATAATCTACATTGTCTTCCCAGTCAGTGAATTCTATAAAAAAAAACTTTGCTTCATTCTGTATTCATGTCTGAATTAGGAAGCATATTTGTTCTCCAAATATGCTGGAATACAATTCAATAATTCAACTAAATCCAGAGATTCGCTGGCTTGAAATTTTGGGAATTAGGAGTTGCTGCATTTGAAGGGAACCAGATTGGAGGAAGGCTGAGCTAGCTAAATATTTTGTAACTTGGCTTGCCGGCATTCTGGGTAACATTATATGCTTCAGCAACAATAACCCTCTTCTGCAAAGCTCTTATTATATATGCCATTCAAATATTTATTTTGATTTTTCCCCATTAAGGGCAGAATACAATTGGACATGTGGGAAAGCTTCAGATAGTCCACAATGAAGGGCCATTTTGTCTTTGCCAGTGTACTGTAGATACCATATTTGGTGTTATCACAGTTCTTGGATGCAGTAGTGGAGCAGTAATGGTTTAGAAACAGTGTATTCCCCCCTCCCCCTCCTACTAGTTCTGAATGTTGTCATTTCATTCCACCTTTTAGTATGGGAAAAGAAGAGAATTCAAACAATGTTTCCATGACTACCTACAGAGGTTTTCTATGTTTATTTGTCTAGGTTTGACAATATGTTTCAAAACAGCATTTTAGTGTGTTTCAGAATTATTGTCATTGAGACAATTGACATAATGCAAATATAGCTTTATTTAAAAGTTTTCCTGTGGTAGAAACAAGCTTGCATATCAATGTATTTACATTCTCAGAGAAGAAAACAATGTGGTTAAAATCAGTTCAGTTAAGGCAGGGGTGTCAAACTGCCGGCCCACAGGCCAGATGTGTCATGCCGAAACCGCGCCCACCCCATTGCCAGCAATGGGGAAAAAGTCACGATACATCGCGATACGTCCCGTGATGTTGCGAGTTTGACACCCATGGGTTAAGGGATATTTGCTGATGCATTAACCTAAAGATTATATTATTGCTAGAAGTTTCTTGGCCAGGCAGATCTGTGGAAATGAAATGTATCAAGTCTGGTTGAAGTTGTCCCTATTCATATATCATAAGGTTACATAACAGTAGAACAGTTCTTACCTAATCAGTGAAAATCTACTTCTGTGTAATACATTTTATAAAAAGACTGCTGCATACTTTGACTGTTAAGTCCTTTGAAGACCTAATGAATAGAAATTGTTTTGTTTATGAAGACAGGTGATTGAAAATATAAGAAGAGTATGTATCACTGCAGATACTAGTATGATCCACAAAGATTTCTCGAGGGCCAAACACCGGTGACAACTTTCAGCCCAAAATGTAGAGAGGAAGTTGCTCTCCGTTCTAGTCATACTCCAGGCTGGAACCTGCCCTCTTTCAGGATTCTTTATTTCATGATTGTTTCATAGCTTCCCAGTTCTTCACAATTAAATAGATTTGGTGGTTTTAGGTACCCCATTAAAGACTTTCTCTCACCTCTGCAAAGCTTGGGGCTCCTCCAAATTAGCTGAGTCCATTTTGAATTGTGTCATTTTGGATATTTAAGAAACAGTATTTGAAAATTTGAGGTTGGTATAAATGATAGCAATTCTGTATTGTCCATGTTTCGGTAATCACTTTACTTTTATGACTGTAGTAACATTTGGAGTCCTAGTTATGTAGAAAATATTATGTAACTTCTAGCTGATACTTGTTGCAGTGGATATATATTGAACTAATAGAGATGACATTCCATTAATTTTATAGAAAAAATATAGCCTTTAAACAGCTGCAATAATAGTTTATTAAATAACTGGTGATATTTTTCTATAAGAAAAATGAGAATAAATATGGAGATGTAGTTTTTTACCTACTTGGAAATTATTTTCATTTGTTTCTTATAATACTACAGCACCTTTGACTTGTATGATAAAGTTATCCAAAAAAATAAATAAATCTGCCCTTAGGGCTGTCAACTTGGCCCTAAAGTTGAAAACATAGGTATTCTCTGAAGCTGACAAGAATCAGCTATTGCAACTGATTCTTCCTATGCAATATATTAAAAGCAATAATTTAAGCTTCTGTATCTTTGTGTAGCTCCTATTAACTTTGGGATTGTACAGTGGGCTTTTTTTGTTTATTAAAATCATGTTGGTCCATAAAGAAAAACTCAACACCCACAGTAGGGCAATAGCTTTCTGAGAACTAATCAGAATGGCACAACTGTCTTCCTCACTGGACAAGATATTTCAAAATGCAAGAGATGGGGAAGAACAAGAAAAATCTACAAATTAAATAAATTGTGTAATATAAAATATGCCTCAAGTTGGAAATTGCAACTTGAGATGTATTAGTCAGTGATAAATTTTGTTACTGCTGGATTATAACCAGGGTGCCAGTGAAAAATTTGTCCTGTCTGGTTTTATTTTTATTATTTTTAGATAGTAATAATGATGGTAATAATGCAAATCTATATTTCTAACAATTCATTTAGTTGTCATAAGACTATGGCACTATGTTTTGTTTGGAAATATGCCAAATTCCCAATAACAAAATACAAAGGTTAGCTGAGGCGTTACAGCAGGAGCTAAAATTGCTGGTAGAAGGCATCCTTATGTGTTTTCCTTCTGGTAAATGGGTGCTATGTGATTGGCTGTGCCTGTTGTGTTAAGTCATTTGTGAAAAAATAACCATAAATGTTCTGAATGCATTCACTGTCTCAAGAAGATTGGGAATTTTGGATGACAAGTAGCAGTTGGAGGGAAAAAATGTCTGATCTTTCCAGCTCTGTAAACACGGAGGGCTTAGTTCCTCCTGGTTAATATTGCAATATTTCTGCATTCAATTTTGTTGGAAGTATTTTGTGGAAGATAAATTAGGAAA